CACCTCTTAGAGCAGCAGCTGAGAAAGCAAGTGTTTCTTCACAGGTCTCCCATACCAGTTCTGAACAAGCCCCCATCCTTGCTTAGCATCTGAAGTTGTCTGAAAAGATCAGGATAGTTGATGGTAATGTTTCTGTCATCTGTGTGTCAGTCTTTCCAGCTGTGTATATTGCTGCACAAGACGAATGCACTCAACATGAGACATTTGATTAAAAAAAAGAATGCTGTTTTTTTTCCCCTATGTTCTAGTAGAACTAATTGCTTAAATCAATTCCTGGGAGCATGGGGTCATATAAGCATGGTGCCATCAGTACATGAATTCCTCTGTACTTATTTTGCTTCCACATTCTTATTGATCCAGCAAAAGTGGTGGTGATTTAAAGAGTCTGTGCTGAAGATAAGTTAGGAGATTTAATGTACCACGGTCTTTACATTAGAGGCAATAAATCAGTTGTCACAGAGCTAGGAGCAAAGTGACAAAATCAATACAAATGTATCCAGGGACCAGAGGGGGCTTTAGTCATTAGGTGTAACCTTTTATATCCTGATACAGCATGAATACGGCTCAGGAGACCCATAACCTAAATCTGTAACCATAAGAACTGCTAACTATAAAACGTATCGTAGAAGATTGTGGTAAAGCAGTGTATATATCTGTTAGTGGGTATAGTGTGTGATTCTCTTGCTGTTGTCAGAAAAAAAAATGCTGTGTTGATGAGGAGCTTAAAAAAATATCTTAATGTCTTATTTTGAAAAGTTTGATTTGTTTTTCCAGTTAATATACAGTTTTTGCAATTGCTATAATATATAGTATATTAGGAAAACAATTTGCAACATTTTACCTCAAACAGAAGTTTCACTTTGCAATTTCTCCTTATGTATTCCATCTCTGATGCAGGTATTTTTCAGACAATTCCTGCAGATAGAATCTTTTCTATTTTCTTTCTTCGCATAAGTCATTTCAACCTTCCCAGTTTGAGAAAAAATGTTGATTTTACAAACAATTATATCTTGCCTTCCATTGTCTTTTTGCCCTGCTTCTGTGGTTATTGCTGTTATTTTGATGTTCTAGCTTCTGTTACAAATTATTAGTGTTTGTTGATAATAAGAAGAAGAAGGAAAAGTTGGGATGACGTATTTTCAGAATTACTGAGTCAGGTGTGATAGCTCAGTCACTGTGAGAATTGCAGAGCTTGTACAGTATGAAAGGACAAAAGGCAATCAGCCACTAAATAAAACACAAACAAACTTTCTTTAATGCCTTGAAGTTAGGCCAGATGGGGTGATCCTGATTTCAGATACATTTTAAGCACAACCCTATAGAAAAAATTAATATGACTGTCAAGTTACAGATCTGTACAAAAAAGTCTTTTTTTTCTCAATCCATTCACTTACTGTACCTTTTTGGAATTGGGTTCAGAGGGTATATTTGAAATACATTTGATTAACCAAAGTGTTTCTCAAGCGTGTTGTATTTTACAACTAAGAAAAATTGTGCAAGAAGAGTGTTTTCTATATTTTGCTTGAAACAGAAGAGGTGCCAGCAGAGTCACAGCCGTAGTAACACAGGCCAGCTAGAAAAGTGCCACATTCCATGGTATTCTTCATTATGGACTGAGGAGACCAAGGGGACTGGTTAGTTATGAATGGTTCACAGCTGGATCAAAAAGACATCTGAGTAATTGGTTTCCAGGGGAAATGCAGGTGATTTTAATCAAAGGAACGCAAACCCCTGGAAGAAAAAATACTAGAAGACTCTTGCAGAATTTTAGGATCTTTTGGGGGAAGAGAAATCATTTTTTTTTTCTGCCAAAGGGCACCTACAGTCTCAACATAAATAGCATAAGGGAGATAGACAAGTTGTAGTATTCAGATTAACTGAATGAGTGACAGTGACTGAGCTTCTGAACAACAATTTTAGTATAATGGGAATTATTAAACTGTACAAAATTCTATTTACAGGATTATTTAACCTGATGCTTGTTTTACTCTAGAAGAAAAATCAGTTGGGTGTTTCCAGTGTCATTGTTAGGAGAATTTATTAAATCTTTACTTTCCCCAGGATGCTCACAAATGCCATGTTTTCTTTCTTAAACCATTTATTTTTCAGTTTTGGAGTGTGGTGAAGTACTTAAAGTAATTTCAACAAAAAGTTTGTATGTGAGAAGAAATTTTCTTTGTAACAACTTTACGATGTACAACAATAAAATTATTTGTGTGCATTTGAGCCTTTTTCTTTCACTCTCATGCAAGTTTACTGTGCTGTGTTTAATTTGCTTTCTCCTCTCCTCCAGGAGGACCTTTGTTCAAAACATCCTGCAAGTCTAGACCTGGAGGATTTGATAGGTTTATATTAATCAGCAGCTCTTCAATAACACCTTAGGAACACCTGCTTTCAGCACAGAGTACAACACAAAAACATCCCTTTGCAGCTTAATACACATATGCACTTTTAAAAAATCAATTGTAGATTTGCATTTTGTGTGCTTTAATACAAACAGTAAACATCTGAAAGTGAGTGGAAACTAAAAATTCCATGTATTGGAATTCTCTTGTTTTAAATTAAATTTATGAAAGAGTGATTGAAAGAATGATTATACCAAAGCAAGACATGTTGCATATGGTATATTTTTTCCATTGAAATTAAAGCATAAATTATATTTTTAAAGTTAAACGATGCTAGCCAAGATTATTTAGTTGTACTCTTTTGTCTGCTTAAGAGTCTGTAGGATGACTTTAGCAGCAGTGTCCCACTGAAAGATATAGTAAAGGTTCTGATCAGATTTCCTTAGGCATTAAAACATTTTTGATAGACCTCAGAGCACAATGCATGAAAAAGAAATCACAAATGCAAAACAAACAGAAGTAAACAACACTTAGCATTGAAATAAAAACAGTATCTGTTCTACTTTTAACAAGTGGGATTTTAGGGAGGAAGTAAAAACACCCAATGAACCAGAAGGCATAAGAAAAAATATCCCTGTAAAATGGTACAAGATGGTGTTGTATTGGAAACACCAGAATCACTAGAATGAAGGTTATGTTTAGCTGTATAAACAGATGAAAGATCAGACAAATACACATACAGTAAGTGTCAAGCCATTGAAGTCTTTAGATGTTATGAAAGATTTTTTTTAAAGTATGGGAAAAGATTCCAACACGAGACGATTCTTGCTGTTAGGTTTTGAACAGTGTTCCTCAACACTGGAAAGAGGGAATTATAATGAAGAGAAATGAAGAAAGGCATATTGTGAATATAGGTGAAATATATTTTGTGTAAGGCTTAGAGAAAATGGGACAAAGCTGAACCATAATGGTCTTGCAAAACGTTTCATGTGAGGTTCAGATGTGAAGCTCACCTCAAAACAAAACTTGATCTGATAACCATCAGCAGTAAAATTCAGTTCACGTTCAATTTATGTACTCTAGCTGATACTGCAATAGTATGTTTGAATTATTCAGTGAACCTTTCAACTTGAAAAAGTATACTTTTGAGATTATAAACTACTAATCTGCTGTGAAGGATATTGACCTTGTACAAAGTACACGATGTACATGCGAGGCTCTGAATGGGATGGATCTGCCAGAAAGCCTAAACTGTAGTCATTTAAATCATGCTCGCGTGTTTAAATTCTGGTTTACCACTCTGAAGGCTATAGACTTGACTCTGGATGCAGCCTTTGGATTCAATCATAAAGGAAAAACCCTAGATTGATGAGGGCAGATCACTATAAGATTCAGCTAATAAGGATTCTGTATGGTGACTGGAGGCAAAAAATAATGATATGTCCATCCGCCGTCTTCCTTAAGCAGAAACCCATTATTAAGTTTCAGTCATTTTTTTGAGTCAGACACTTTTGGAAGATGAAAAGTTTCAGCTGAATTTCGGAAGATTCTGTGACTTGGAAAAAAAATTGCTTAGGGAGCTGTGCAAAACACTGCAGATTTTTTTGTACCTTTGGAATACTGACAATACTTTAGAGAAGGATTAAAATAGTAAGAGAACAGGTAATTTAACCCTGGCATGTTTTTCTTTCTAACACTTGTCTAATCACTTATAAAATTAATATTCAGTTGGAACTACAGTATATGCCCCCTGTTTGAACTATATCTCAATTTTAAATCCTACAACTGTCTTTATCTTTCGTTAATAGAAGTTTATTTTTTATTCCTTTTCATCAAGTTCCCAGTAATACAGTACATTGATGATGTGTCACGTAACGCATATTTAAATTACAATTATGTTTTAACCTGGGTGAAATGTACAGGTATATGTATTTTTATTCAGCTAAAATTGTACACATATTATCATAAATGCTTTTTCATTATTTTTCTTTTTATTATCATTTCATTTAAAAATGCCCATTCTCTGTTCTAGTAGTTATATATGAATATTACGTAGGTCTAAGAAACACCTGGGGGAAGAAAGCAAAATAGTTTTTTTCTTAAATAAAAACGAATGAGGTATAGATCAATGTATGAGATTCACGGTTCACTAAATAAAATATTTGAGATCTGGCTGAGAAGGTTCTGACTTGTAATCTAAAGATAGGAAACTGTTCTTCCCATAGTTTTAAAAAAAGCTTTCTGAGGGTGAATCTTTTTTTTCCACTGCTGTCTATATCTCAGATACATTGTTGCCAAAGTATCATGTGTTTTCTGTGTAATATACCCAACATAAATTTGTCTTCTCACTGAAATGTAATAAAGTGAAACCCTGCATTGTATCAAAAAATAAAGGTTAATCACTCTGCTGACATGTACTGTACATGAAAGCTAGTATGATTTGTAACAGAAGGAAGCAGTTCACAGTATGATATTTTACTATGAAATGGCAAATGGCATTGTGAAAGGTAGAGTATGGAGAACGTATGGAAAGCGTGACATAAACTGGGGGAAGGTATGATGTGGAGCTGCATACACGTGGTACCAAATTCTCAAAAACTCAGCATTACGCTAAAGACACTAAGTTACCTTACTAATCTATATTCTCTTCTCAAGTGCCCCCCTGGTCTGAGTCCAATGAAGGATGGCACAGGATGCTATGATCACCACATTGGAATTGATTGCTCAGATGGCTTCAATGGTGGCTGTGAACAACTTTGTCTTCAACAACTGACACCCCTGGATGAGGATCCATCTATGTACAATATCCTTATGTTTTGTGGGTAAGTGCTACAGCATAGATTTGATATTACTATACATTGTGATTTATTATTCGTCCTCAGTGAAAAATTCTCCTCGTTCCGAATTCTTAAAATGACTGCAGAATTTCTCAGTTCGTGCATCTCACTTGATCTCACCTCAGAAAGAATGGATTTTAATCTCAGCATAACCTAAGCGTTGTTTGAGTTACCTCTTTTGACTGATCTCTGAAAAGAGCTCATAAAGTCTGCATAGAATAGCCAGAGGAATATCTTGTTGGTACCACTTCGATAGTTTAGATTCTGCTCAGCTGTCATTATCATATGGGTGACTTCAGTGGCATCTCACTCTTGAGGTGATACTTGATAGTGTGTCTGAGTTACTCACTTAATCAAGTTAATCTGACAGGAAATCAGCCTCAGTTTGAATAACAAATATATTATACAGGCATTTAGAACCGGCGTCAGCATCATTCACCTGTAGTGTCCAGGTATTAGGAAAATATTTAGGTATTTTTAAATAAAAAATCTAACAGTAAATTAAGATTTCTTTTCCTTTTGTCTTACAAAAAACAATACAATGTAAAAAGAGCAAAGCAGTAACATCTGATTAGGTGGATCATTTTTTTGTTTGAAATCTACAGTGATCGGTTAATGAGATCTGGGATATACAGTATCTCCCACTATAATAGACAAAACAAAATTTGAGTACAGTATTTTTAGAATTGGCAGAACATGAGATTGGTCTATCTGAGGTGGTACAGTAGAACAATTCTTGCATGCTATACAGTGATCGATGTTAGTCATGAATAATAGATTACTTGCATGATATTGGCTAAATAGGTTTTGTGCTGTAATGAAACAATAATCAGAAAAATGTATTTTGGTAAACGCCAAAGAACATTATTGCAATTTCAAGATGAGAATATATTAAATTTTTTCTGCCCTCCAGTGCATTTCATTCAATGCACTTTCCTTCTTTAGCATAAAATCAGTTGGATTGAATGCACAAACACAAGTAAAATCTGTCATCTATGCATGAAACCTGAATTGCAAAACAATGTCATGCAATTTGCATTTTTAATGTACCTTTTATGTTTAAGCACCCCAGGGCACTGGGTGTGAAGCTGTTTGAATAGTCTTATGTGAGCCATGGTAAAGGACGCTTAAGATTTTAGGCCCTTAGCTTTTAATACCTGGTTTGTCAGATTCCCGAGTATGCTAAGACAGTTAGTTTGAGAGATCAGTGATATAAAAACTAATCAGAATCTACATGCTGCAGGTCAAGCAGAATAACTCCAGATTTGTGCTTTCTAAACTGAAATGCCTTAGCCACAATAATGCAGCGTATTTATATTATATTATATACTGTATAGCCTTGTTTCACATACTTGTATCTAGGGCTGGGCGATAATTCGATAATGATAATTATCGCAATATAATTTTTCTCAATATAATTTTAACAAAAGTTCGATAAATGTTCGCTATATATGTTTATGCTTTGCGTATGCGCACAAAATACTGCGTGAGTGCGCGGGTGTGTTGCACACCGGGCAGCTAACGTGGTGTTGTTTACCCACACGGTGGTGGCTGACAGGATTGTAGTTAGAGTGGAGAAATGAGCAACACTGAAGCAAATGTAGTGCTGCCAACGACCAGCTCGAAGGACGATGACAGAAAAGGTCATTCAACTTCAGTAATTTGGAGATATTTTGGCTATTTACGATCAGACATAAAACAGAGCACTTTAAACTTTGCAGTCTGTCTGAGCCATCTTCTATATGTGTTTTATCACACTGCAGTATTTAATTTTTCTGTTAAGATATTTATTTTGTCAATTTTACTCATGCATATTTTGACATAAAAAAGACTTGAATACTCTCTACCTCAGATTTGTTTAATGTTTCTGCTGTTTGGCAAGTGTTTGTTGTGTTCTTAAAATAAAGAGTTGTTTAATTTACCAATTAACTGGTTTCTTCAACTTTCACTCAGGAGAAAAAATCTGCTTTTAAACTTGAAAGAAATAATGATTTGACATTTATCGTGATAATTATTGATATCTACTGATATGAAAATGTTTATCGTGATAATGTTTTTGGCCATATCGCCCAGACCTACCTGTATCTACTTCTGAGATGCTTGGAATGTCACTGATGTGTGCTTCTCATGTACTGAAGGCTTAATCGGCTATGAATGTGTATAATCATTCTATATACTAAACAAAATCACTTCCTAAGAGAATGACCTGTTTAGCGGCCATTATTACCAAGTTTCAAATAATGTACCTCAATACTTTAAGCTGTGCAGTGCACAAACCAGGAGTTTTGTTTTTGGAGCCAAATTTATTCTCTGTTTTTGTAAAGAATTTTGATTAAATTGTAAAGGATTCCTACAAACCTACAATGGCAATCAACTGCTTTGAGAATTGCAGTATCTTAAATCCCTAAGGCTTCTATCAGATTTATAATCTAAACTTTCTGCTCCACATACACATTTTCCTTACTGTAAATCAGAAACCGCCAAACCGATTCATACTGTAAATTCCAACTTATCTGTTGTCTTGTTGAAATTCTGACATTATGGAATCATTACAGAATGTGTTGAATTATGATTCATCAGTGTTTTATTTTGAAAATATACCACGGATTACAGTTTAATTTTTCATCTTGAAAGCCATATTGCACTTTACTTGCTTCTTCAAATGAAACCAGCCGAAAAATCATAAACCTGTTGTACGACTCATAAACAATCTGCTTAAGTCATGTCCAACCTAATAAATATTTTATTGCGCATTTCTCCCAAACAAATATATATCATCCTCTAACAGCTTTAGGAATTGTGCTTAATGCTGCATTTATTCTGCCTTAGAAGCATGTTCATATGATGTCTGATTTTCGAAATGGTTTATGTGTAATGCTGATCATTTGCTTGTCATTTGCGCTGTTAGTTGTATTGAAGATTATAAACGTGGACCAGATGGACGTTCCTGCCAGCCCATTTCCGAGGCCTGTACTGAAGGCCTGGACTGTGGTGAAGCAGCTGACATCCCTGCCAACCAGACAGTGTTTGGGGAGCTCTTCTACGGCTACAATAACCACACCAAGGAGATCACATCCGGGCAGATTCTCAAGATCACATTCAGGTGGGCCATTCACAGAGCCTAGAAACCAATTACAAATGGTAATTCAGTCTGAATATACAGTCAAATCTGGCATATTGTGTTACTAAACAGAATATGCAACACCTTTATATACTATATTAATACTGTACACAGCGATAAAAAGAAACAAGAAAGGCATATACAAAACAAAATTAGAGTACCTGAAATACATGGGACAAATAGACATTACAGTGTCTTCAGTATTCCTCAGCTCCTTTGCCTACACATTAGTCTGATGGAACTATGAAGACTTGTAATATCTAGTCATATGTATTCCTTACACTCATATAGCACTTTTCCGGACACTCCAATGCAAGCGTGTTATACAGTAGATAATGGAGACCCCCCTCCACATGATGGGTAAAGGCCAATGCGCAATTTGGCCAGAACGCCAGGGTAACACCACTACTCTTTTAGAGAAGTGCACTGGAATTTTTAATGACCACAGAGTGTCACCTCAGTTTAATGTTTTACCCAGAGGACAGCACCCCCTACACACCCCACTAACACCTCTTCCAGAAGCAAAGAGGTCTCCCATCCAGGTACTGACCAGGCTCACACCTACTTGACTTCAGTGGGTTGCCAGTTGTGAGTTGCTGAGTGACATGGCTCCCGGCTATCTGGGCTTTTTTTACTGTGGGGGAAACATACAGGATATGTTCTAGAAGTATCCGAGCTAGGGTTAGGGTTTGAACAGACATTTTCGGATGTGTTTGCCATACTTAAGTAAATGCTGGAAGTAATGCTGGAAAAGCGTTTCTTTGTTGTTTGCTCGAGAAATTTTTTTTGCCCAATTTAGCATTTTTTATGCTGTACAACACACCTGTCAAAAATAGTCAAAAAACAAAAGTTTGAAAACACACTTTCTACATGCTAAAGTCTCTTGTTTTTTGCATTTCAACACAAATAAAATGATAAGCTTTGCCAACTATTGGTGGTATTTATAATGCTGACTTGTCAATGGCACCAAACCACTGTATTTTGTACACCATTTCATCAACAGGTTAAAACAGACGTAAATACTGGAAATATAAAGGAAAATTAGAGCAGATTCACTGCAGATACATCTAAAAGACCTAAAACTGATTCTTTTGATGTTACTGCCTTGTCTGGAGTCATTTGGTTCACTTTTAGAACACATGTGTTTAAGGCAAGTTTTTTGGGATATGTTCTAGAAGTACCCGAGCTACTGTAGGGTTAGGGTTGGGGTTTGAAGACCACCTAGACATTTTGAATTGTGTTTCCCGTGCTTTAGTGTGCATTTGAAATGCTGGAAAAGCAAATGTTGTTTGCTCAAGAAAAAAATTTGGCCCAATTTTGCAGTTTTTTTGCTACACAACACACCTGTCCAAATAGTCAAAAAACAAAAGTTTGAAAACACACTTTCTACATGGTAAAATCTCTTGTTTTTTGCATTTCATTCCAAATAAAATGATAGGTTTATCCAAATATTGGTGGTATGTTTAATCCAAACCTGTCAACTGTACAAAAAATGCTTATTTTCTACTCCTTTTCAGCAGCTTTTAATACTGGAAATGTAAAGGAAACTCACTGCAGATACATTTGAAATACTTAAAACTGTTACTGTAGATTTTTCTGCCTAATCTGGAGTCATGTGGGTCTCTTTTGAAACGTGTGTTTTAGGCACGTTTTTGGTACATGTTCTAGAAGTGCTTGAGTTAGGTTTAGGGTTTGGACACTTAGACATTGTGCTTTAGGATGCATTTGTAATTTAGGAAAATGTTCTCTTGTTCCTCGAAAGGAAAATTTGGCCGTATTTTGCCAGTTTTGAAACTCTTACTTTCAATCTTTCTGCTTAGTTTGGAGTCATTTGGGTCACTTTTTTGGTATAGTATTACAATTGCTACTATTTAGCCATATTATTAAATACTGTTAAAATTTGAAATGTGAATAAATAGCTCTTTTTAAAATCTATGCCACAAACAAAAATAATACTTTTTTTAGAAAATTAGTGAGCTTCCTCCATTGGTGAAATACTTTAGGGTGAATTGTTTATACACTGTTCTGTGTATGTATAAACTGCTTTGAGCTCCATATGAAAAACATGATGGAACCTGTATGAAATTGCTTTGAAGTTTTTAATTACTAAAGTACTCACACAGAGATTACTGCTTTGTGCTTATGCTGAGGTTTTGAAGTCAATGAGTCGCGAGGTCAAAAAAGCATCTGTGCAGCTAAAATTAAATTTTGAACAGTCCACATAGATTCTTGAAGCTGTTGGCAGCTCCGGTACTTAAAGAGTACACTGCCTAGTTGGTGGATGCATGCAAACGAGAAAAAGTAATTAATGTCTACAAGGAACTGGGTCTCAAATGTTTGCACTGATCTAATTTGAAGTTACCAAGAGAATAAAGGTTGGGTCAGAATTTGAAAAACTGTAACTGTTTCTATGGAAGCTTGCGTCTTGAGGAGAAAGCTTTTGGGAGTCTTGGTTAATGCAGTTAAGAAATGCATAATTAAAAGTAATGTCAAGAAGTAAATTAAAACTGACCATGAGCCACACAAGTTTAATGGAACATAATTGGGCCAGAAGAAACTTTGGAATGCTTTATGAAAAAAGAGGCTAGACTGACACAGAACAGTGTCAGGTCTTTAAGTAATGCAATACAGTGACATGACATTGTAATTCAAAACTTAAAAATTTAATCAAAATCTCAGGAGTGCTTTAAGTGCAATACTGAGAAAAAAATAGATGGGTGATCCAGAGAATTGAAATGTTCTTAAACATAAAAATGAAGACATCAACTTTATGTTGTTTTATATTTAATGTGTTTCAGCATCTTTACATGATATAATATAAATTGTTAAGAGTTTCTGACTCTGTCATTAACAATTTAATAAAATGCAGAATTGATTAAATATTTCACGTGAAATTGTAACATTCGGGTTTTGACTCGCAGGACTGATTAGATTGTTATTCAGATTACTTTATATGAATTTTTCCATACTATATGAATCATCCATCACTTCACACACTTAATCATAAATTCAGTTGAATGATTAAAAAACTGCAGTATGATACCCCTGTTCTTACCTGAACAATGTTTAACTTCACAATTTTATACTGCTAATTCTGAGTACTGCTTATCTTTGAGGCAAGTAATTTTCAGGCCTTTATGTAAAACATTCAGTTTAGGGTGTTGCTATCATGGTACTAAAGTACGAAATTGATTAGATTCTGTAGGCAATGGAATGTAAATATATATCCATTCATGTAGACTAGTTTGATGATTGTGTATATTATTTGTTCTCTGGGCAAGAAACAGTGCATTGTTCAGATCCTACCAACGTATTGTTCCTACGTCTACCACAATGGGTGTTTGACTGACATTTTCTTTGTAGAACTCGGTCTGCCATTGTCTTGAAACCAGTGCAGTGATTGGTGTGAAACTTAGTTTTCATTTTAACTTGATTTAATTGCATTCAGATCTACAGTTCTTCAGAAGGTTGCCTTGCAGGTTGCAGAGACATACAGTACCACACACCCACACCATAGAAGCTGTGCAGCCAATTAACTGGTGCTTCGTGTATGTGCTCGGCTGAGGAGCCAGTGGTGAGAAGCTACCATCTGTCAGATGACAGAATGCCTCTAAATCTGAATCCTCTGTTGCATAAACCAAAATGGTTGTCTGACGCCCATTCCTTAGTTTGTTGTTGTCAATACTTGCCTTGTAACATTAACTCTTGCTGGTTAAAAAAATAGCTTAGAACCTGGAAGGTATGAAACTAGTTTCCCTTTAGTCTACTTGAATTTCATTCCTATTATAGAAGCAAGTGGACAGGGACCCAGGTTGTCCCCCAAGAGACAAGAGACACCTATTTTTACAGCACTTTTCAGCTTATTGAAGATTTACCTAAGAAAGACGCCAACTTGGAGACAATCAATTTCCAAGAGCTTTTTTCACTGGATTTGATTGTTTGAGACTCGTATTTTTAGGTTTGAGGAACCTTTTCAAATCCAATGTCTGGAGGGCCCAGGGAAAGTGGGGCTCACTTAATTTATACAGATGAGAACAAACTTCAAGTGTAGCAGCACCTTATGTTCACCATGAATGGTATAACAGTATGTTTCCCTCATTGTGTGTACTATAAGACATGCATGGCACAATCAATGGTGCTCTGCCTGCATTGTAGGCTTTCCTTGCTGCAAATTTAAATTACACACAGCCTCTCTTCAGACTTATGTGGTTCTTAATCATGTGTAACGTAGAAAAGTTTAGTTCCCCTGATGCCTCTGTGACTGGGTCATAGCAGTCAGCAGGGTAGGAATTGTCAACAGAGATTCTCTGTCAGTCTCCTCATCTCTAATGAGCCACTACTGATTAACCAAAATGCATTAAGAAACTGCATGCTCGCATGCCCATCGCATGCCTACAGGACCTCAGTTTTACAGTTCTGTGCATGTACCATAGGACTGTAAAATGTCTCTTCCCAGGTACTCTCTGACCATATTTGATTTAAATAATTTAATTTTCAATTGTGATACATGCGCACAGCAGGGCCTTGTGCCTAACGCAGTGTTCAGGGGTGGGGCCCATCACTAAAGCACAGGGCCCAGAGCAGTTGATCTGACTTTACCTCCACCACTACCCACCCATGCTAGGAACAACTCTGGTAGGGACATGATTGGATATCTTCAAAACTGCTCATGTTGTTTTGTTCTGCTACTGTATCTGTTAAAATAATAAATGGCTGTTACCAAACAGTATATCAACTTCTATGTGCTAAGATTCAATAATAACAGTTGTATAAGCCAGTGCTCAGCAGTAATCGGTTAAACACATGAGGTACTGTAAGTAGCTAGAATAATTTAAACCTGTGATTGAAGAGGATTATATTTCTTTGGAAAAGTAATCATTACAACTGCACATGTACATTAGACCTTGTTAAATCAAAGCCAACCGCAATAAAAGGTACTGTGTCTAAGTGCTTCCAAAAATGTAAACAATAATGGATGGTCT